CCGGCGCGGTTGTGCCCGGCTGGCACCGCGACCTCTCCTCTGGAGCCGGCCCCGGATGGAGGAAGGAAAAGGAGCTCTCCCGGTGGGGGTGATGGCCTGCGGTGGGACGGCCGAGGCTGGGCTTGCTTTGCGGAGGACTCGCGTCTGCTCTGGTACAGCTTTGCAGCTGGTAAGGGCCGTTCTGTTTTCGCTCTTGTCACCTTTGCGCGCTGGAAGAGCGCGTAAAAACTGCTGCCTGTTGAGTGGGAGTAGGGGGTGGCCGCCTGCGATGGTTGCAGTCGCTCAGAGTCGCGCTCCGTGAATCATGTTTCTGGCTAATTCACCTAAAATGTCCCCGCAGAAACTCTCAGGGGAGCATTAAGACTGCGGTGGCTTTGGATTTCTTGGGTTGTTTGCTTGCTTATGTCTTTAATTTAGGCTGTCAGGGCTTAGTGGAGTCGCTTGATAAGGATACGCTTATTACTGCGGGGGCATTTTTAAGACAAATAACGTGTCTATTAATTCTGGTACATATTGGAAAGAATTTCAGTGGAAAGGCAGCTGCTTATTTGCCACTCGTTGTAGTGGGTGTGAACACTATGGGAATCCCACTCCACCCATTAAAAACTGGCTTAGCTCAAAATCTTAATGTTTCTCTGGCTTCTCTAGCATTTCTGGTTGTCAGGATATATTCATACAGCCTTCTTTGTATATCAAGATAGCTGTTGCTTAACTTAACTCTGAGCCCTTAAAATATACTGCTGTGTACTAATGTGCCAGTAATGTAGGTTAGTAGGATAACCTCTTAAGTGTTGCCTGTCTTAATACCTGTCTTTCTTAAAACCAGGTATTTCTAAATGGTGGCCTGCATGAAAATGATACGGTGCTGTTCTGAGTGTCTTTTAAAGGGGATACTGGATTAATCAGAGACATTTCCAGGTTAATGTATAGATGAAGTTGTATTTTTAAGATGGTATGTGGTTTTGATCAAGTTAGAAGCGAAGGAGGATGTGATCCTCTTCTGTCTTGCACCTCATTTAGTTACAGTTTTTAAAATGGCATCATGATAGAGCTTACTGTATACTTCGGTATGACTGGACATGATGTGAAATAGTAAAACACGGGGCTCATCAGTGTCAGCTTTAATGTAACTAGCACTAGGAAGCGTGTGTGCAGCTTGTAGTATTTACAGGATGAACTGAAAATGTTATTCAGCTGAGTTGTTTCTATTCTTGCTAATATACATATGAGAATCTAGGACACACTGACTGTTCTGAAGACTAAGGTACTTGTGACACAGTTAGAGCACTTCAGATGGTTGTTAAAGAAGAGTCTTTGAGGAAGAGAGGAAGCCTTGTGCGTTCCTGATGGTGATTCTGTAAAACTTTCCAGGTAGTTTAGTAGACTGATCTTGAATGTAAACTTGTGTCAGAACAAAACCGACTCAAACTCATATTTTATTATCGAAAGACTTGGTAGGATTTCTCTTTTATTTCCTGTCTGGGCTCTAAGGCTTTTTGCATATGGGGCTCTATCCATTAAAGACGCGTATTTTTGTTACACACAAGAGCTCTTTAGCATGTCAAATCCTGTCGCTTAAACTGGCCCCACACGTCTTCATATTGATCTTCTAAAAGAAAGACGTCTTTGATTCATTGGTGGTGTTTCTTTTAAATTGCTTTGGATGTGGATTTGATCTAATTAGCATCCATTATAATGAGGACTCTCAACAGCAGTGAGGTTCTGAAATACACTGCACATCTGGGGAAGCCCTTCTTGTACAGGAAGCTGCTGCCAGTGGCCAATTTACACAACAGAAGAGGGTTTTAGTGTATGAATGACTCTTCCTCGTGCTGGCCTGCTGTTTCCTTCCTAGGATACATGACTGTAAGCTTAATTGCAGCTGCTGATTCATCACCTCGTTACTAGGGTATAAAGTTGGTTTGCTTAGTAATTCAAGTTTTGAAAAAAAACAACAACAACCCCCCTCTGCTGCTAATTTCATTCCGTTGGCGTAAAAAGTACCTCTCTAGGTTGGTATTTTACCTCTAGCAATTGTGTAGCTGTTATCAAGACCAAGCATGTGCTTTGTATGGGAAGGACATGGGTTTGGTTTACAATATTCAATAAAGTTTGGATGAAAACCAAAATTACCTTGTTTTAAAATATCCTGGACACATTCCTTTCAAAAGAATGCTGCTAGATCAGTGAAACATGCATCATATTAGCTATTACTGCTATTAGGATCCAGAGTTTTCCTTGAAGCTGCATATGAATCTTCTCTTGGAAACTGGTATTCTGTGTTGAAAGTTAATGAAGCATTTATTTTGATCCTTGAAAGAGAAAGCAACTCATGTAAATGTAAAGGGTTTGTGAGCTAGCATCTACTTGTAGTAGAAGGATGTGAAGCTGCACTGCCATGAGTGTGGACAGCAGACAATTTGTGCACTCCCAGATGCTGTACTTCAGAGCATCTTCTGCAAATTCAGAATAGCCGTGGGGAAAGGGATAGCACCGCCACTTCCTTATGAACCTCATGTATGATTTTTTCACATGGCCAAAATTGGATATTTTCTCTTCCATTAGTCTTTTCACTGTTTTAGATCCTGAACCTGGATGGGATCCTGTTTACAAGCAAGAAGTAAGGGGCAGATTCATCCTTTGTTTTCTTACTAAGCGGCTCTAAAATTTGAGCCACAGAAAGCAAGAGAATGCAGTATTGATACAGAAATACCTTGGATGATTTGTGCACCATGTAGGCCTGTCCTTCATTTGTAGAAAAAGATGAAAATATTAGTTTCCTATTTTTTAAAATTTTGAGGGCATTATTTAATGGGAAATTCAAATGTTGGTATTTACTTCACTTTTCTATTGTTTAAGATGACATTATTAAGACTATGTTCAAAGTAGAAGATGCTTAGTGTTTGGATAATGTTTTGTCCCTTGTGTTAATCCTACATTTTTGAGAAACAGGGAAGTTGGGAAGAGAAAAGACTTGTTCCCTAGCACATTTTTTCTTCTTTGCCAGGTTCTGATTTGAGAAAGTTCATTCTAATACGCTGTTTAAATTCTGTGCAGTAGAAAGGTTGGCTTCCTTGCATTTCTCTGATAGGCTCTAACATAACATGTCGCTGAGCTGAACAAAAAGTGTTTCCGTGACACAGGAATGAGAATGGCAAGAGCTGGATTTTCATCTCCACTCCTTGTTTTATGATGTGGTCTCTTGGAAGGAGACCTGCTCCCCATTTTACTGTTTGATTTCCCCACCTGAGAGCAGTTGTTGTGTAGATGGCTTGCTTTGTCTAGGACTGCCACAAACCCACAAACAGTATTTCTGGAATGGGCAGAGAAGGTCTAGTTGGTGGCCTGTCTTGGGAATGCTTTGTGTTAAAGCTGAAGAGCAGACTAGCATTTACATGGGAGCGATAAAAGTTTTCTCATTAATAATAGGTAAGTTCTAATTTAAGCAAAGGCACCAAGTAAAAAATTTTAAAAGAAACTTAAGTATAAGGAGAGCAATGCAATGTTTCTTAGTTAGAGACCTAAAGTAATAAATTAAATGGAATAGACTGCCTGGATTGTACTGACAAGCATTACTAGCATTCCACTAGCGAAGCTCTAACAGAACACTAACAGTTCAGAAGACCTCATTTTTGTGTAAGCTGTGGTATAGGGGTGTTAAATTGTGAAATTATGTTTTACCACAAAAATAGCAAATTATTTCCACATTATTTATACATAACTATAGCGCAGTGTAGTCTTGCCACCATTGTTTGTTTTTGCTGACAAGTCGGGTAGTTTGTTGCCCAACAACTCAGACAGGTTTTTCTTTGTCTCCTTTTAATTCTGTGTGAGGTATTGTTGTGTGTTCGAAACATTTCCCTTACTAGATTAGTTAGATACGCAGTGATGCTTCCTAAACTGTAAGGATCTGTGAGTGACTGATTTGCTGCTGCTGTTTAAGTTCAAGCGAGGTGGAGGATCCGGCATTGCAGCTGAAGGCACAGCAGTTTTTTTGATTCAGCAGAACAATTCCTGTAGCAGAAGCTGCCCCTTGTGACTAATGCAGGCTTGGGATATTTATAGACGTGCATATCCACAACCCTTCTTCACTCCAGCAGGCAGCCACCCAAATACAAAAGTCTTCTGGAATTAAAGTAAAAGTCAAAATTAAAATTAGTCCAGCAGTTTGGTTCTGACAACACAGTGGAATGCAGGAACGCATTGGGTAATAAAATGCTTTCCTTGCGGGGGGAGTGCAACTTGGGAAGCTGTGGGTAGATGCACAGTAAATGGGGAGTTCTTACGATGTCATGTAGTCAAAATGTTATGTTTTCTATCCAAACTTCATACACTACAATTTCCGATATTTGCATTGTTGTTCCAGCTTAAGAGGTTGTCATCTTTGTTGCTTTTGTCCTTGGGCAGGCAGGAGAGGAGAATCTGTGTCTGTGGAGGACCTACTGTAAGCTCCGGTTTGTGGGAGCTTATCTGTGCTGCAATACTACCGCTTCCATGGCAGAAAAACGGATATATTCTATTTTGGTTTCCCCTTCTAGGTGAGAGTGCTGGTATCTACCTAGGAGGTATTTCATGACAAATCCTTGTAGACAGAATTCTGAGACTGAAATGGTAAACTTACTCCAAATAAAACACAAAAAAATCAAAGCTCTATTGAATCCTTTAAGAATATTTTAATCTCTGTAACAGATGCCTTAAAACACTAAGCAAGAACATTATATTGACCCTAAAAGGTGCAGTATAAGAACCAGATTTTTTTAGAAGTTTTGTTTCTGCCATGTTCACTAGGTATTTTTTCAGAAAAAATGAAACTTGCATACAGTTTCTATTTTATATGTATACTGCCTAAAGTTACAGGACTAAAAGTATAACAAATTACTGGATTTTTACAAAAGTAGTCTAATTGACTGTCCTCAGTTTAAAAATTCTGCATTTTGAAGGATTTCTTGCTTTCAAGAAAACAATGTGAACTAAACTTTCATGCTTGTTAAGCTCTAACACATTGAAATGTCATTGGTTTCAGATTATTATCTAAAACTAGTTTCAGGTATTGAGTGTTTCACACTGATGTTTTGATGTCTGGAATAATCTCTTTCTCTTTAAAAAAACAAAACAACTTTGTGCTGCTGTTTTGATCAGTGATTCATGCCCCTTTCCCACCAAAGCAGTAAGAGAGCACTGCACTGGACTCTGAAGTTTTGAACTCTGCCAGTGCTAAGTTTGAAAGCTTTTTCCAATTTTTTCTTGTTGGGCTTCCGTGGTAGTTTGTGGACAGCTTCTGTGAAGTTTGCCAACTTGCCCCTGCAGTAAGACCACAATATGGCTGAGCATCATTGTGGTAAAACTGGTGGATTTAAGGCAGAGATTGAATATAGCTTATCAAAATTATTTGTGTGCTGTCCATTTTCTGATGGAAACAGTGTCATTTGCCTGGGCATGCATCCATTTCTGGCATTGTGGTCCTGTGTCCTAGTCAAGTACAGCATGTATATATTGTGAATTATATGATCAGGGGCTGCTTGTGTTGGACACCCCTTCTGTTGTGATGGGTGATACCTGGGTTTTCATGGAATCATAGAATCACAGAATGCTTTGGGTTGGAAGGGACCTTTAGAGCCCACCCAGCCCAACCCCTGCAGTGCCAGGGACAGCTTTAACCAGCCCAGGGTGCTCAGAGCCCCGTCCAACCTGACCTGGGATGTTTCCAGGGATGGGGCCTCCAGCACCTCTCTGGGCAACCTGTGCCAGTGCTTCACCACCCTCATTGTAAAGGATTTCTTCCTTCTATCCAGTCTAAATCTATCCTCCTTTAGTTTAAATCCATTATTCCTTGTCCTGTCACAACAGGCCTTGCTAAAAAGCTTGTCCCCATCCTTCCTGTAGGCCCCCTTTAAGCACTGAAGGCCGCCATAGGGTCTCCCCGCAGCCTCCTCCTCTCCAGGCTGAACACCCCCAGCTCCCTCAGCCTGGCCTCGGAGCAGAGGGGCTCCAGCCCTTGGATCAAAGTTTGTGTTCCTCACCTGAGGAATCCAGAGTTACGGCCTGACTTGCATGTGTGCTCCTGCCAAGTAAGTGTGTTTATTGCCACGTTGAGGACGGTCTCTTTTGCTCATGTGAATAAAATGCAGCTCTGATGATGTGATGTGGAGGAGCTGCAGCCGCTGGCCCTTCAGTGGCTCTCTGAGAAACTGTGTGTCCTGTCTTGGGCAAAAGGACTGAGGCCTGCTTACATCCCTGTCTTTGCACTGTTCTGTATTGATTTAAATACTTTGGATAAATGCTTTTGGGGCAATACTTTTAGGCAAAGAGATCTTGGAGGTTCATGTTTTGTTGAGAAGTTGAGAAGGCTGAGGAAATGGGAATGCATTTCTGTATCCGATCTTGTGGCAATGGAAAGGATTGTCTCCTGTGTTGTAAATAAAATTGATTCTGCTAAGGAAACCATGGACAGCATACCAGAGGGCCACTGTGCCTTACAGAATGATAGTGGACAATCAAATTAAAGCTAAAGGGATTTTCTTAGCGAGTAGCAAGCTATGCTTTACTTTGTCAGTGCTGTTTTGGTTGGGGTTTTTTTTTTTAAGTTTTGGCAGAAGGGAACAGGTTTTTCTTGCTTTGAGAACTCTGTTGGAGCAGCTTGATATGTAGATAGCTTGCAGTCTGTCTTGTATCTCACATGCTCCTTGTTATTTTTTTCCCCCAAAAACCAGTTTATTTGGGTAGACACAGACAAATTGGGGAAGAACTTAATTTTAATATTTATTTTTCTGTTAGGAAATCAAGAGCTGAGATAGTACATAAGAAAGGAATTTCACAAGAGAAAGTTGCATTATTTGCAGAGTAGTTATAGGAATGTATTTGGTGTGAGAATTTCAGGTTCTGTTAGTCAAAATCAAACATGAGTAAATAGAAGGTATCGGGATATACTTCTAATGGCAGAAGAGAAGGAACCTGTAACTCCCGCAAACTGGCTCCCACAAATTTTTATAGCACTGTCTTTTCTTGTGAGAGGAAAGGAGGTAGGAAATGGAACACTTCCTAGGTTAGTCTTAAGCTGGTTAGCTGGCTGTATTGTAGATAGCTAATTACAGTAGCATAAATCTCAGTGTAGGCTTAGTGCCATGATATCCAAGTACGGTTTTGACTCTTTAATGTGAAAAGTGAACTAGAATGCAAGTGCAGTTGGTGAATAGCTTCTAAAACTCAGAAGTTAAGTGTCCTGGTTACGACTGGGCTCAATCTTTTCTGATACGGATAGAAGATAAGCAGATTTTCTTCTTTCCTATGTGTCTGTTGGCTGTCGTGTACAGGTAGGGTATCTTTCAAATAATCTTAGATTTAGCTGAGGTGAAGCAAGGTTGGAAGCAGTCACCCCCAAATTTTACTACTTTAGTGAATTTAATAAATTTATTTTTTCTTTAATCTCCTTTTTTGACAAAGGAATATAGTTTTAGGTGAAAGGAGGACTTTGTCTAGAGCAAGTCAAGATGTCACCAAGAATCAGATACCTGAATGTTATGACTGTTAAAACCCATATAGATGTGAAAGCTCCTACATGCTTTTATTGATGGAGAGAGCCTACGATGGATATTAGGGATCAGTATCTTTTTCTAGACTACAGTAAGTGTGGCTTATAAGCATGGATGATTTGATCTTAGACTAGTTAGCTGCATATATGGAAAACATTGTAGTACAGTAGCAAAGACCTTAGGACAGATTAACTTCTGGAATATTTGTCCAGGAACCCAAGTGGGTTTTGCAGCCTGTGAAGAGCTGTGTGCAATTATATCTATGCTACCAAAATCCTAGTTGCCTTGAGTTGTCTATATGAATTATAATTACAGCAGTGATGCCAATGGGCATATGTTCTATTTTAATATAGAAGTTTGCTTCAACTATGGGAAGAATATGTTCAGTGTACAAAGCTAAGTTATTACTTGTATGTCAGTTTTCGGGGAGTGTATTTTTCCCCTAATGATTTAGAATTAAGGAGGATCCATTCCCAAACTTTGAGTGATTGACTCATCATATGACCTTGGGCAAGTTACTCATCCACCTTGAGCTTCAATCTTCCCTGTTGGAGTATTAAGTAAACAATAGGGAACTTGCTGAAAACCAAATGTTGTGATTGAGTTGAGGCTTCCTTGCTTTCTGTTGTTTTGCCTTTTGCAAACAAGTAAATTTCCATTATTCTTTTAAGTTGGTATTTGAAAAATTTGCTCTAGATCTGCTACTCCAAGTTGTAGGCCTAGTGTTCAAATTAAGAGAATTGAAGTTCCAGCCTCCTCTCTAAATGTACACCTCACCTTGTCCTGCCAGGTCTTCTACTGATCTCACTACTCTGCTGCTATTTCCATGAACTGTCTAGAAGATCATAGTCTCCCGGGAAGCTGCAGTCTGTCCCTCAGAAAAAAATATAATTTTGCTGCTACCTATGCAAGCATTAAACGAATAGTGTTTTTTCCAAAGATCAGCTAACTGTAGACTGTTTAAAAAAAATTACAACAATTAACTGTGAACCGGTCCTTCTGTCCTTAAATCAAAGAATGCTGTTGCCCAGGCAAGTGCTGTAAAATTCTTCTGATAATTTATGCTGGCTGTACAGACAACCTTGTGCTTGAGTGGTAAGATCTTGAGGTTTCCCCTGTTTGTTCTTGGATGAGACAGTTTTCCCCAAGGGTTAGTGGACGGCATTGTGGAGACTGCAGGTAATATTAAAATAAGCATACTTGTCTTGAGGTTTGTTTAATGAGCTGCTTTTGTGCCGTCTGAGAGAACTGTTGTTCAGTGAACCACGCTTCAGATGGGTGGCTTTTTGCAGGGATTCTCCTCGTGTGTCCTGCTGAGGTGTACAAGGGCATCTCGTCCAGGTCAGGGGAGCTGATGGGAGCTTTCCCTCTTTAAGCACACCGCTCTGTTCGAGCAGCGTCTCTGCTCTACGGGTTTGTCTGTGTTGGTGTAGCATTCCAGCACAAGCAAAGCACAACTTTTTTTACAGAATGCACCTGAAGGAAGGAAGAGTTTATAGTCATCTTTGATGTGTGCGTGAATTCTGTTTTCAGATGTTTTTGAGGTCAATGGAAGGAACTTTAGATTTGAAGGAAGGAGAGAGAAGTTGAACAAAGGCTCTCAAACTGGTTGTAAAACTGTTGCTGTACCCTCTGGTTGCTTCTAGGTGGCACTACACGAAAAAGAATGTGTGTATTCACTAGCTATGAGAAGCCAACTGTTGAGCTGGTTGGGGCTCTGCTGGTCATAGCGCAGAGAGGAGCCGCTGGCAAATACTCTGGGAGAAAGGAGGAAAGGAATAAACTTAATCTTCTGTGATAGAGTTGACTGAACTCTGAATTGCATTTTTCATAAGCGTGAAACAGTGGTCGCTTAGTGACAAACTGGTTTTGCTGTAGTGCCAAAAATGTGATTGTGTACAAAATTTATATACATAATTCTTCTCCAAAAATTATAATTGCAAGAGAAATGGTTCTCTTTTTCTCTAAATATTTAAATGTGAGGCTGCTTTATAAAGCAGTCTTACAGGACAATTATACTGTGTGTACATGGGCCAAATAAAATACAGGTTTTCATTCTCATCTAAAATCTGAATCTTAACATTCTTCAATATTTTTTTTTTTTTTCCATTTTGAATAGGGAAGGTCATAATATACTCCAGTTCACAGCCATTTCTCAAGTTTTTGTTGTTGTCAAAGTATATAGCAGCTTTTAGTTTTGTTTGAAGGAGGGGGCTCTGTTTGATATAGATTGATACATCTTTGAAAGTTTACCCTAAGAGATTATAGTAAGGAAGCCATCTCATGTGATGACTTCTAAAACAAATCTCATCAAAGCAAAGATGTGACTTTTTTTTTTAACCTTTTTTTCCTAAAATGTTTTATTCAGAGCTAGACAATGTTCTGGTAAGAAATAAAAATCCTAATCTATGAAACACAAAACTAAATAACTAAAACCTTCCTTTTCTTCAGCAGCTCCATGAGACTGTGAAAAGAAAGCTTGATAGTGCTGCTTCCCCTCAGAATGGAGACCAGCAGAATGGCTATGGTGATGTATTTTCTGTGTCCAAGAAACTGCGTCGTGATGATGGTCTTGGTGGAGTGAGCGGTTCTTCCAATGGAATGCCCCCTGTGTCTCCACTCCATCATCTTGACAAGAAATCTGGCAGTGGAGATACCTTACAACTTAATGGAAAACATCCGATGGGGCTAGATGGCATCAGCAAGAAGTGTCTTCCAGATTCCAGCCTGCAGATGAATGGAGGTGGTGATGCTGATGACTCATTTCCTCTGAGTTTGAACAAAGAGCTGAAGCAGGAGCCTGTAGATGATCTTCCATGTATGATTGCTGGAGCAGGGGGTTCTATATCTCAGAATAACTTGATGCCTGATCTTAATCTTAATGAGCAGGAGTGGAAGGAACTTATTGAGGAGCTTAATAGATCAGTGCCCGATGAAGACATGAAGGATCTCTTTAATGAAGACTTTGAGGAGAAAAAAGATGCGGATTCTTCAAATTCAGCTGCACAGACTCCATTGCCACAAGATATTAACATAAAGACTGAGTTTTCCCCAGCACCCTTTGAACAGGAACAGATGGGATCTCCCCAGGTGAGATCCACTTCATCAGGTCCAGCATTTATTGGTGCTGCTTCCGTACCTGTAAGTGCCGCTTCTCCAGCGGTTGGTAGTTCTCAGGCTATGTTTCAGCCTTCCAGTCAGTCAATGACTGAAAATCCTAATCAGCCCATGATGCAGGCATCAAACCACTCTCAGAACGTCCAGAGGCCTCTCCCCAATGTGTTGTTACCTGGGAAGGGTGCAGGAAGTGCCAAAGAAATGTCTTCTGCTCATCAACTTCAGCAGATTGCTGCCAAGCAGAAGAGAGACCAGATGTTGCAGAACCAGCAGCAAGCTTCACAAGTCCATCAAACAAATCAGATGTCTACGTGGCAACAGTCTGGGCCTTCTCATAGTCCACTGGCTGTCCCATATACCATGGAAAATCCCACCAGCCCATTGGTTTACCAGCCAGACTTCAACAATCAGAAACTCATGATGCCTAATATGGGAAATAAAAGCTCGCCGAGAGCTGGAGGCAATTACCATGTGAACATTTTGGGTCATCAGCAAAACAGCTTGAACCAGAACCCTGTGAATAGTCAAGGCTCTATGCTAGACTATGGGAACACCAAACCTCTTTCACATTACAAGGCAGAATGTGAACAGGGGGTTACAGTACCTGGTCAGAACAAGGCTCCCATGTTGGCATACATACAACAGCGCCAGCAGCCACCGCTGTCTCACGTAAGCGATGACCAAAATGGGATGATCCTGTTGAAACCCAAGTCTGGAAACATTGCCTACCGACTACCACACAGCCAGGTAAATGTTCTGGTTTTTATTACCTTTGTTTAGTAGCAGATTTAACGTTTTGCAAGAGGGTGTTGGATAGATAAGGCTGGAGTACAGATTACTTGGTATCGTTTCAAAACAGTTGCTGTATGATTTTAAAGAAGAAAATGATAATATGCAATAAGCTGAGACAAGAATCAAGAACTGTGTTTTCCATGGAGGACAGTTTTTCATACTCAGTTCTAGGTCATGTGGTAATGTGTGATTTCCAGCTTAATGTACTTTGTGGGCAACAAATTATGTCATGCTTCGTAGAAGCTTCTACTTACAAAGATAAATAGACGCTTTGTAAACTTTTGCCTAAAATAACTCATGTAAAACTGTAGTGTTAAACAGTGTTCTCAAAGAAGCTTTGATTTCTTTACCTTCTTTTTAGTCCCTACTTGTGTCAGAGTTGGCTTACTATAAAAAGACATGCCTTTGGTTGCTGCTTTTTTGAAGAGCGATGGAAGTGGGGGCTGCATGCCTGATTTCTTGGGTGTTCCTTGGGACTTTTCAAATCTAAGAATTTGCTATTGGTTAAGTCTCTGGGGATTAGGGAAGCATGGGATAAGAGAGAAATACATCTTCAAGAATGAGTAATAGTAATATTTGTCTGCTTGAAGCAATATGCTTCAGGTTTTCCTGTAAAGGAAAATTCCAGATGGTGCTTCTTTGACTTATATATAAACTGATACTACAGGTATGCTGCAGGTGAAAATTTATGCAGTGGATGGAGGTGTAGACTCATTGGGATTCTGTAACATGTGCCTGCAATGCATATACTAGAGGGCTTGTTGAAAAAAAGGTCTTTGTTGTAAGGATTAAAGCTCTTTTAGCAGAAGCTGTTGGAGATCCGACTTTAGTAATATGTCCCCAAACAAAAAAACTCGTGAAAAAGATCTGATTAGTCTGTGATAAAGACCGCACTGATATACAAATAAAAATCTGAGATCCATGTGTGCTTCATAAGGCACAAAAAATTAATCTCTTTAAAAGCTAGCAGAAATAACAATCTGATGCCGTTTTGGTGGAAGAAGGAGAAGGCTAGAGATGATTGTGTATGTGACATCTCCCCCTCACTGAAAAACATGAGGGTGACCTATACTGCCATGCTTGCACTGAATTAACAGAAATACTGGTGGACGCTTCTGGAGGATTTCTCAAAAGCTTGCATGTAAAACAACTTAGCACAGCATTACCTATATTTGGCTCATGATTTCTTAGGAAACTGCAGAGAGTGAGAACCAACAGTCGAACCCCTTAGCTGAATTCTAAACTTGAAAGTAGTATTTGCTTGCATAACTGGAAATGAGGCTGAAATGTGCTTAAAAATTGTAAAATTTGTCAAATTTCAAATGGATTTGCCAGTACAAAGAGGACAGTATCAGATCCTGAATGATAATAGTTCCATGTTATTTTTGTTTATCCCAAGTTCCAATCTCAAAAAAAAAAAAAAGGCAGACTTATGAAAAATTAATAATAACAGGCTTATCTGTAGTAGTATTTTTCTCTGTGGAATATGGTGATGGTTGGATTGCTGGAAGAATACATTAAGACTCATTTTGATCAGTGATAGCCTTCTTCCCCTTCACCTGCAAATAGCAAATACTCTGATACTAAAAAAAGCTACTCTAGGAGGGGAGGCATAAACACTTGCTGAATTAAATATTGACAGAAGAGGCAGGATTTAAGTAAATGTTTTGTATAATGAAAATTTAAAACGTAGTGTTTGAAAAGCTACTAGCGAAGTTAACTGAAGCTGGTGTGTTTGAATTGCTGTTTGTAACTGGTGCCGTTCCTCCGGCTGAGCAGAAGCACACAGAGCTGTACTCGCCTGTTTGAGCTGGACTTTGGGAAGTACTGAAGTTAAAGCCTCTATTCCTGAATGTTGTGGAGCTTCTGACGTTGACTCCGAACTGTCACTTCTGGGGCACCTTTATAAATGGGGTTTTGGCTGTCTTTAATTAGCTGAACTGGAAACTGTATCACACTTTGCCTTTTCTGTTAGAAGGTCCACAAGTGAAGAAGCTATTGCGCAATGATGGCAAAATATAAGGAACTGATCTAAATTTATTAAATAGTGTAAATGTACAAATAAGCAATAATTGACAAATTCTGTTTTTCTGAGACGTGTTACGATTCCCTTCCCTGTGTAGACTTTGTTTATAAAGTCTCTCTTCCTTATCCTGTAAAATGATAAAAATAATGCAAATCATGGTCATCACCATGAAAGTGCCTTTCCTCATCTGTGTAACTGTATACAGTTTCTAAATTCTGCAGGGCTAACCTCTTTCTGTAACTGATGTAACTTTTTCTATATTCTGCAGGATCAAAACCCTTCTCCTAACGTTCCTCGCGTTCCCGTTTCTGTCCCGGGCCCTGGTGTGGGTGCCCAGGCTCCCAACGTCTCCATGGCAGGTAACCACAGCAACCCACCTTATCTCAGCAATCAGCAGCAAGCAGCAGTGATGAAGCAACACCAAATGCTGATGGACCAGCAGAAGCAGAGGGAGCAGCAACAAAAGCACTTGCTCATGGAGCAACAGAAGCAGCAATTCCTAATGGAGCAGCGACAGCAACATCTTCTGGCTGAGCAGGTGAGAGGGGCCAGCAGTCTTTTTTTCGTTGCGCTGATTTGCTTTGGACTGAAACATTTGAGATCTTGCCGAATAGTTATCACATTACAAAATAAGGAATGTAAACTGCAAAGCATTTTGGTATCACAAGTATAATCGCTGGTTTATGTTTCTGTAAAAGTTACCCAAACACACAGCACTTGATTGCTGAGGCTTATTTTTTCTGTTGTTATAAAGCAATGTGGTGAATAAAAAGAATAAAACAGGTAGAATTGAGTAGTGTGAAAATGCAAGACAATACCTACATGGAGAGAAGGTATCATACCAGCAATAGTGTAATTCTTTGTGAAAGAAGAAAGGCAAATGAAATCAGAGCAAAAGTAAAAGATGAGGTTGGGATACTGCTGATGTGTTCTGTAGAGCTTTAAAAATGGAAGCAATGAGCAAGGGACTCTGTAAGCTCATTGTGCCTTCTGCCTTTCTTCCCTGTGAGATCCACTGCAGTTCATGTTTCAAACTTTAAAACATCTTTCACTTGTTTATCTGCATTCAACTTGCATCTTATCCTGCCAAAAGAATTTAACTCTGTTGTCCATCAGACTGCAGAAAGCTGCTTTAGCCTCTTTCAAGGAAATGGGCTCCTTGTGTGAACCTTTCTAAGCTTTAAAACTTTTTCAAGTCTTTCAGCTGGGGATCAGCCCAAAGGGCCTTATTCCCGTCATTGGTGCTTTTCTGCATTTTTAAAAGTCCATTCAGGCATGTTCCAGGCACTGGCACTGCACATACAGAGGAATTATCAGTATCTGTTATGGAGGAAGGGGAAGATGACTTTTCAAAGGTTTGCGAGACCCAAGGAGAACCTGGTATTCAGATCTTCTGGAAAAAGTGTAATGATCTGTACTGCTGAAAAGTTTTATCATTTAAGATAATGGGGGGGAGGGGAAGGGAAGAGCCACGGAAAGCATTTTCTTTGAGGATAGTGGGAGGAGGGAAAAAAGAACCAGCGGTTTAATGAAATAAGTGAACTGCATTTATCCCTGAGAATTAAAAAAAAATTAAATGCTTTGGAGTCCTCCAACTAATAACAGGTGGGAATGTATAATTTTCTTAATTTTCAGCACTGTATAAAGGTGATAAATCTCAGTGTTCTCAACTTTGAAGTTGGGAGTTGTTATCCTGGTAGATAGGATTTTCACTGTAATAATAGTTTGGAAAATAGAGATGGTGAGAGGAGGTCAGGAAATGGTTGTGTGTGTGGACACCTTAACTTTTATTGCAGCAACTGTCCATCAGAAGCTTTATTTAAGAAAGAATGAAATCATACAGTCTCCTCTGAACTGAAAATGTGAAATCTTGGTTGGGGAGCACGAGGGGAAGAGGGTAGTAGAGTCTGCAGTATTGTGGAGCTACGGCTGTGCCAAGTCCTAGTTAATGGCTTTTTTCATCGCTTAGAGACTTGTGTTAAAATTGAGGACTAGATTGAGGTGACAGAAAAGCCCCTTCAGTTCTTGACCCAGTGTAGATAAAAACATAAGAATGTGCTTGGCAATGTTTTAAAGAAAATTGTATTAACATCGGTAAAGATATTTGGGCACAAATACAATTTGGGCTAAGAGAATATCGTGGTGGAAATATTGTTTATGTTGATAAATATGCTGTCAAAGACTGAAGACAAAGAATACCCAGATCTTCAATAAAATAGTATTTTCTGTTTGATTTTTGTGATCTATAAACTTATATAAATCAATCCAATACTTTTTACTAAATTATTCAGCTTTTGATGCCTTGTATGTTAATATCAAATGGCAAGAATTACTAATCATTACTCTTCCAAAATGTTGACAAACAGGTACTCTTTGAAAGAAGGTGGGGAGAAAGGAAATACGGGATGTTGGCATCCTGCTTGTACTTTTCCACCACCAGTGCATGGTGATTATTAGAGCTCTTGGAGCTGCAGCTCAGTAGGTTTCCTTACCTGCGTAATGGACCTAACGCATCGGACCTCTCTGAACAGTGGGGTGGTACATTAACAGGGTGATAAGTAGCATATCTCAAACAGTCTTGAAATTTTTTTTTCCTACCTGTTTGCTGCTGCTTAGCCAGCACGTGTTGCTGTAGTAAATATCAGTATTATGAAAATATTCCTGTACTAGTTACGGTAATTACAGCTAACTTCTACATCTTGCATCTCTGTATAGTGATATTGAGACTGTGATTCCAAATAAGGAGCGGCGTTGCTTTGGAGCTGAACAGGCCTGGATATTGCATTTGCCACGCTTCTGGGCCTTGCGCTGCCCAGTCAAGCTGGATCTTGTTAGCATTCTAATTAGATATTTATTTATTTGGACACACATGATAGTGGATGTAGTTTTACAAAAAGATTTCTGAATCAGTTGATCTCTTTTTTTGCAGAATTGTAGTTTCAGGTCGCTTCAGTGCCATTCCAGGCCACTCTAAAGTTTCTGTTTCTTTGCATTTGGTATTTTGCATTTCCCGCCCCGAGCCAGGTTCTGCAGCTCTCGGTTTTTCTCAGAACGATGGCATCTCTCCTTGGCTTCTGTGGTCAGCCTCTTTCAGGTTTGACTGGTCCTGCAAGTAGCAGGTCCTTTCTGTCAAGCAGCCTGCCCTCTTCATTCCTCTGCATGTCTCAACAGCTTCTTAGTTGTAGACATTTCAAAAGGATGGTAGTAATGTGTATCTGCGTATTTGTTACATTGCACTAGTCTCTTCTTTACAGGCTTACTGCTTGTGTCTTTACCCAGTACTCTTGAAGCAAATTTCTGTCCCCTTCTGTGCCCTGTGGAACTTTAGATGAGTAGGTAGTTGTGCATTGTATCACTACTTAGTTGTCTCAGAATTTCAGTCTGGTTGAAGACAGCCGTGGAAGAAGACCCAGAAGTGTTGTGCCTGATAAGTTTCATATTGTAAAAGCAGCCTGTTGGCTGTTTACGCTGTCAGGATCTCCGAGTGTACTGTTAGCACATGTACGGACACCCTCAGCATTCCCCTCAAGGCTTTAAATTTCATTTTCCCCAAAAGTTTCCTAATAGAAAATTTGCTTATTTTATTTCTCAGATATTTTTATCATAAAGTAGGTACGGGTTCAATGTGGTTTTAAAGAGGCAAGGTTATTTTGAATCATTAGTGGGGTTTGTTTCAATTGTTCGGTGCATTGTTAAGAAAATGGTTTTGAACAGTGGTAACAGAACTTTTATAGCTTCTGTTATAAACTTAGTTCTGCAGTTTTCCATAATCGTCTAGGAAAACCTGTGGTATATAAGGGTTTGTGTATAGTTTTTTCATTTTTGAAAACAAGGGCTAGAAAATATTTACGTGTTCAGTTTTTATTTTCCTGTGTAACATTGGTATTTATGACTTGTATTTTAATTTCTAAAGAGAGGTCTAAAATAAATTGATCTGGGGCTAAAGAACAAAAGAAGTATGTATGAAATTTTTTTATACACACTCACTTTTGTTCCTCTTGTACCTGTTAATATCTTTAGAATATTGCTAAAAATGTCTGTTGATTTATGTTACTGGTTAAAAGGCTAACATCTCAGAGTTTCAATGTTTTAAAGGCTTCAGATGTGCCTTGCAATAACTCTGTAATGTGTACTGTTGTCTCCGAGTTCCTAGTCTTGTCACCATCAGATTAAACTGACTTGTGTTTGAACCTTGAGAACAAAGGTCTGAAGTGACTTTAAGGCTGCAGAAGCCCCTTTAATTACCAGCTCCGCATAAAAGCATGCGGATAGCTTGTTTTTATCCAAGATGGTCACCCTTGGAAAAAGCTCGACTTGTTTTCTAATTGTCTTGCATTGGACCTTTTCTAGGAGAAACAGCGGCAGCAGCAAGAGCAACAGCTGCAGCGGCATTTGACTCGACCACCTCCCCAATATCAGGATCAACCGCAGAATCTGTACCAGCAACAGGTTGGACAGTTCACAGGTAAGTAAACATGGCAATTGAAATAATGGCAGAAAAAAAATATCGTGAGTAAAATACAAGGTGTCTTCAAATTTCCTGGATTGGATAGCTTTTAATTAATTTATTACAACATCTTTTCACGTCACTGCATTAAAATTTTAGACCCATACTCTGATTCAGTTGCAAATTAACAACTTCCCCTGTCCCAGATATCTGGGGCAACTTAAGCTTCTGATTCTTAATACTGCTTTGGAAATGGGTAAAATTCTTAAGTCCCTTCATTGTTCTAAAGGCCTTTTTATACTACCATTTCACTTTACAGGTTGTAAATTCTCCTTAACTTTCATATATTAGGATTCAGGTTTGGGTTTTTTTTTTTTTTCTGAAGCCTAACATCACTACTGCTTGTATCTATCACAGACCCTCATTAAAAAAAAAAAGTGATGTATTATTTCTCTCATCTACTAGGATGAGTTTAAAATTCTCTAATCTTATCCCTGCTACCTTTAGAAGGGAATGCAATTTGAATTCTCTTCATTACACGTTAGTGTCCTGCATGGTTTTTTTTGTGGGAGAAGCAGCTTGGTATGTCTTTAGTGTATTAATGCTGATAAATAAAAGATATTGTTACTGTTAAGCTGGAATAACTTCATGAATGTGAAAGAACTAGAGAACAGTAAAAACTCGTCTCCTTACCTGAAAAATCCTTACTTAACAGGGCATCAAAAAGCCACTTGTCTTTTTTTCATAAACCTAGAGTACCAAAAAAGTGCTTATTCCCTTCGTTTTGTTTCCTTACTCTCTATGTTCCCACAGAAATAAATACTGAAAGGAAAAGATGCAAATAGAAATGTGGCACCCTCATTCTGATAGTGTTCATGACTGTGCAGTGTCTAGTAGAGCTATGACTGGGTTTTGTTACTTAACTGAAAAAACTTGATACCAATACAAAAGGGTTGTGTGCTAACACAGCGATCAGTAGCATCCTTCAAATATTGCACTGAACAGTTTTTCTCCTGCCACTTTTCTAAGACAGTAGTACACCTGGTAGAAATACAGTATGTTTTGCTATAATGAACATCAGTATTACGAAAACTATTTGTTTTGATTGTAGCTGGTTTTTGCATCTTAAATCCTGGTATGTGTACTACCTCCTCACTGTAGTGTGCCAGTAAGACTCTTCGCCCACCCATCCACCCCCCTTAACATTGGTGGTTTTATGGCTTTGGTAGTGAATTCAATATAATTTGAATTACATTTTAATATATTTTAA